AAAAAAAAAAAAAAAAAAAAAAAAAAAAACTGGACAAGGAATGAATATACATTTCTATGAAGAAGATATACAAGTGGTAAATATGAACATGGAAGAATGCTCAACATCATTTTTCATGGGAAATGTACATCAAAACAATGAGATACTACTTCACGTCTACTAAGCCAGCTATAACCAAAAAGATAATAACAAGTGTTGGCAAATATATGTAAAAATTATATTTGTTTTAGTCCGTTTTGTGTTGCTATAACAGAAATACCTGAGACCGGATAATTTATAAGGAAAAGAGGTTTATTTGGCTTACAATTCTGGGACAGCTGCATCTGGCATGGGTCTCAGACTGCTTCTACTCATGGCAGAAAGTGGCAGGCAGCCAGTGGGTACAAGCAGATCACAGGAAGAAAGAGAGAGGAAGCAAGAGAGAGGAAGCAAGAGAGGGAGACAAGGTGCCAGGGTCTTTTTAAGCAACAAGCGCTCGCGGGAACTAATAGAGCAAGAACTCACTCATTAATCCCCCCTCCCCCAGGGAGAGCATTAATCCATTCATGAGGGATCCATCCCCTTGACTCAATCAGTTTCCAACACTGCCACATTGGAGATCAAATTTCCACATGAGTTTTGGAGGGAACAACACATCTAAACTCCATCAATATTTTTAGTGGGAACATAAAATGGTACAGCAGCTTCACAAAAAAATTGGCAGTAACTTAAAAAGTTAAACATAGAGCTACCACATTACCCAGCAACCCAAAAGAAATGAAAACAAATGTCCATACAAAAACTTGTACATGAATGTTATTATGGATTGAATTGTGTGCCCCCAAAAGTTTAATGTGTTGGAGGCTTGGTCCCCACTGTGACAGTGTTAAGGGAGTGGGAAGTCCTATTACGGTAACTGAAAGGTGGGGCCTTGAAGAGGTGATTAGATTGTAGGATAATGCCATAGAGAATGGATTAATAATGGTGGTCAGGGGTGTGGTTCTGAGGGCTTTAAATGGAGAGCACATGAGAATCTCTTTCTTTCTGCCCTGAAATTTTCTGCCATGTGAGATCCCTGTATTTCTGTAAAGCCACCACCCAAGAAGATCCTCACCAGATTTTTTTCCTGGACTTTGGACTTCCCAGTCTCCAAAACTGTAAGCAATAAATTTTGTTTTCTTATAAATTACCCAGTTACATGTATTTTGTTATAAGCAACCGAAAAAGACTAATACAGAAAATTGGTACCAACAAATACCTGAAAATGTGGAAATGACTTTGGAACTGGTTGTTGAGGAGAGGCTGGAGGAATTTGGAGGAAAAAGCTAAAAAGCCTAGATGGTGGTGAAAGTTTAGAAGACAAAAAAACCAGGAAAAGTTTTAGAGATTTGTTAAATAGTGGTGACCAGAATGCTTATGGAAATATGGACTATAAAGACCTTTCTAAGTAAGTCTCAGATATAAATGAGAAGGAGCTTATTGGAAACTGGGGCAACGATCACCCTTGCTATGACCTGGCAAGGAACTTGGCTGCTGTATTCTGTTCATGTCCAAAAGTTTTATGGAACGTGGAACTTAAAGATGCTGAACCAAGGTATTTGGCAGAAGAAATTGCTAAGCAGCAAAATGTTCAGGAAGCTGCATGGCTACTTGCAGCAGCCTATGCTTAGTTATGACAGAAAAGCCAGAATTTATAATTAAAAGGGAAATAGAGCATAAAGATTTGGAAAATTTGTGGCCTGGCCATGTGTTAGAGAAGTAGAGAGTATTTCCAGAAGAAAAACGCAATGGTGCTAAGAAGATTAGTACAAAAGAAAGGGATTATCAAGAGAAGGGGAGAAAGGCCTGAAAGAATTGCAGAAGCTTCTATGGCCACTTCTTCCACTACAGGCCCAAAGGCCTAAGGAGACAGAATGGTTTTGGGGAACAGGCCTGAGTGCCCTCCACAGACTCATGCCCAAGGCAACCTCAGGATGCTGCTCTCCACAGCAGCACCCCAGCTGCGTTGGCTACTCCAGCTGTGGCTAAATTGACCCCAGCTGGGGCTAGGCCCCACAGCTTTGAAAAATATAAGCCAAAAGCCTTGGCAGCATCCACATGGTGTTAGGTCTGCAGGCTAGCAGAACGCCAGAGCTGTGTAGGCTTGGGAGCATTCTGACCTGAACTCAATGGATGTAGAGAAAAGCCTGGGGGCCCAGGAAGAGATCTTCCTGGAAGATCTCCAGGAAGTGATATCACAGGGGCAGAGTCACCACAGACAGCCTTCATAGAGCAATGCCAAGCAGAAACGTGGGGTTGGAGTTGCAGCAGAAAAACTCCAACAGTGCCATGCCTAATGTAGCCATGAGAGCAGGACCACCATGGAGACCCCAGACCTGTGGAGCTACCAGCGTGCAACGCCAGCCTGAAAGAGCTGAAGCATGCCTCGGACCAGAAAAGCCATAGAAGTAGAGCTACCCGAGGACTTGGGGACACAATCCCTGCACCAGTGTGCAAAAGATGTCAAACATGGAGTAAAGATACATGATTCACCAGGTTTGAGATTTAATGCCTGCTCTGCTGGGTTTCGGACTTATTTGGGACCTTTCACACCTTTCGTTCAGCCTATTTCTTCCCTTTTGAATGGGAATATGTATCCTATGCTTGTCCCACCACTGTATCTTGGAAGTAGATAACTTGTTTTGACTTCACAGATGAGACTTTGAACCTTGAACTTTTGAGTTGAAACAAGTTAAGACTTTGGGGATGAAATGAATGTATTTGTATATGAAAAGGACATGAGTTTTGGGCCGGCCCGGTGGCGCACTGGATAGTGCGCCGCTTGGGAAGCGCGGCGGCGCTCCCGCCCGAGGGTTCGGATCCCACATACAGACCGGTTCCCGCTCACTGGCTGAGCGAGGCGCGGGAGCAACACCGAGGGTTGCAATCCTGTTGCCGGTCCCCGGTCCGGTACGGGGGCAACACTGAGGGTTGCGATCCGTTGCCGGACACGGAAAAAGACAAAAGACAAAAAAAAAAAAAAAGACATGAGTTTTGAGGGGATAGGAGTGGAATATTATGAATTGAATTGTATCCCCCCCAAAATTTAATGTGTTGGAGGTTTGGTCCCCACTGTGATAGTGTTAAGAGGGCGGGAAGTCCTATTATGGTAATTGAAAGCTGGGTGAAGAGGTGATTAGATTGTAGGACCATGCCACAGTGAATGAATTAATAATGATTGTCAGGAGCATGGTTTTTAGGGCTTTAAATGGAGAGCACATGAGAGTCTCTCTCTCTGCTCTGCCATTTTCTGCCATATGAAACCCCTGCATCACTGTAAAGCCACCACCCAAGAAGACCCTCATCAGATGTGTTCCCTGGGCTTTGTGCTTCCCAGCCTCTGAAATTGTAAACAGAAAATTTTGTTTTCTTATAAATTACGCAGTTCTGTGTATTTTGTTATAAAAAACAGAAACGGACTAATACAAATGTTTATAGCAGTATTATTCATAATAAGCTAAAAGGTGGAAACAACCTAAATGTTCAACAACTGATGAAAGGATAAATAAAAATGGTACATCCATAAGATGGAATATTATTCAGCAATAAAAAAGAAGGAAATACTGATATAAGCTACAACATGACTGAACCTATAAAATGTTTTGCTAAAAGAAGCCAGCCACAAAAGACTACATAGTGTATTTTTCTATTCATGTGAAATGTTCAGAATAGACAAATCCATAAAGACAGAAAGCAGATTAGTGGTTTCCTAGGGCTCAGGAGGGCAGTAGGAGAGGGATAGAGAGTGGCTGCTAACGAGTATGGGGTTTCTTGTTTTTGTTTTATTCGGGGGGGAGAGAGAACAGGGTTTCTTTTTGGGGTGTTCAAAATGTTCTATAATTAGATGTGGTGGTGGTTGCACAACTCTGTGAATATGCTAAAAACCCCTGAATTGTATACTTTAAATGGGTGAATATTATAGCATGTGAATTATATCTGAGTAAAGAATTTTTTTTAAAGCTGACAATCCTCTGTACTGGGTCATTCTCTGGACATTAGAGAAGTCATAAGAATAGAAACTAGTTCCTCTGCTGCAGGAAATTAGGCCATGAATACATTCAAGACTGACTGATAGCTCACTGCTGACTGGTTATATACTTCTGATCTAGGCATTTATATTGCCGTACAAAGCTGAACCAGGGTGCTGATAAATAAAGGTAGAACTTGACCCTGGATAATTCCTTGTATTAGAGGACTCAAGATCTACAAGAATAATTAACTCAAATCAATTCAGTGTGCATGGTTTTGTTCCCCGTTTCATTAATTCTAAGAAATCCTGCACATTGAGGACACTTTGAAAAAAGTCATAGTTTTTGTATCCTATTTACATATATTTCAGTTCTCTACAGAATCATACTAATTCTATACTAGGTAACAATTATTAAGTTATAGGGCTAATAAGTATCATGGACCAATAGCTATAGATCCTCCACTTAAAAAGTGACCCTATGCAATCAGTTTTCTTTCAGAAAAGATATAGTAGTAAGGAAGGGGAAAAAGGAAGAAGGAAGAAAGAAAAAGAATGTAGCAGTAGAGAACTCATTAAGCCAATGGAATGGGAAATTATTAGATTTTCCTTTCTATCATCCAAATTATAATATGAATCATGCATACTATAATCAATTATGCCAAGTGACACCAGTTTTATAAAGTACACAGCAAGCTGAAAAGAAAGAAAAAATACCTTCTGGGATAATGAGAAGTTATCACTTAATGGTTACAGAATCTATTTTTTTAGGATGATGAAAAACTCAGAAATAGATAGAGGTAGTAGTTTACGCAGCATTGTGAATGTAATTGATTCCACACAACTCTATGTTTAAAAATGGTTAAAATGGTAATCTTTATGTTATATATGTTTTACCACAGAAAAAAAAAGGGAAAAAAAAATACCTTCTGGGGGGGTCCCAACGCTGCTGCCCAGACCTAAAATAGACATTTTGTGAATTCTTGGCTCCAGCATCACAGCAGATTCTTCTCCCCTTTCCCAGTGGGGTATTTTGACTGGTTCCAGGTGGACATTATCCAGCCCATTTTCCTGCAGGTTTTGGTACATAATTCTGATGGCTTTTTCTAGGTTCTCAGAGCCACTCAGTCTAGGCCCAACAGTATCAACCAGAAGTGCCAATCGCTCGTAAGATCTGTTCTGGGATTCACCATAAACAGCACGGTTGATGATTGCTTTAGCAATATCTCCATAGCTGGCTATTTCTTCTTTCATTTCTTCAAAAATCCTTTGAGGGCTTCCATTCTTGTATATAGCTTTCCCAGAGCCCAGGGATAAAAGGTGAACAGCACCAACAAATGTGAAGAAAAGGAATGTCATTTTTTTTTTCAGTTGGTTTTCTTCCTAAAATAATCTAGGTAAGCAAGAAACATTGTTTTAGGGGAAAGTATCTCACAGCCATCTGCCCATAACCCAGGGATTACTTAATAAGCAGAATTCCTCTTCCTTTCCCAACTGTTGCCCAACCTCCACCATCAAATTCAGGCACCATAACTTCCAAGAATGGACAAGTAAAGAGGCAGTGATTGGCCTTATTAATAAGGCAGCATTTATTAAAACCATAGAATCACATGTCACCTAGTAATGCTGGTTAAAATATGCTAAAAGACTAAAATAAAAAGAGAACTAGGAAGGGGAGGAAGAAGTAGTGGTAGCAGTAACAGGGCCAAGATAGTGTTATTTGCTGCACCTCCCTCTAAGTAAGAGCACAATCCAAATAGGTGTCAGTGCTCCCTCTCTTTATGTGATCTTTCTGCTTTGCCTATCTAACTCATCTTTTGAGACCCTGTCAGATGTCATCTTTTCCTGGTGCTTTCCCTAATCCCCCTTCCACTAAAAATAATTTGCTTCTTCATGTGTGCTCTAAGAGTACTTTATGATTATTTTCAAGATATTTACCGAATGCTAACAATTTGCCCGGGACTGTGGTATGTTTTTATAAGGAAGAAGTCTAAACTCCTACAAAAAGCAGAGAATTAATGAAAAGACTGGGCTTCATTACCATTTGACTGTGTTATATCCATCACCTACATGATAACAATGAAAACAATAATTATAACAATAATAGGAAACATTTATATAGTGCTTGGTATGCATGCATCAGACATTGTTCTAAGTGTATTACATTCATTAACTCATTTAATCCTCACAACAATTCTATGAGGTAGTTTCTTATTATTACCTTTATTTTACAAATGAGGAAACTGGGGCACCAAGAGATTAAGTAGCTTGCCAAAGGCACACAAAGGCTATCTAGCTCTAGAATTCATGCTCTAAACAGTGCTACTCAAAGGATGGTTTGTGGACCAATGCCAGTCCACAAACTTTTTTACTAATCCACAATAGGTAAATACAGAGATTAAAGGTAAATATATTTTTAAAAATAGTAAATGTATCCATGGTTTCCAATACACTAGCCTGTAGTCTTGTTATTATTCCAATTTAAATTAATCAAAATTTAATTGAATTTAATTAAGAATTCAGTTTCTCAGTCACATTACCAACATTGCAAGTACTCAATAGCCATATGTGGTTAGTGGCTTCCATATTGGGCAGCACAGACAAAACACCTGTATCATTCCAGAAAGTTCTAAAAGATAGCACTGGTTTAGACACTATTTATAAAATGTACATCTGCTATGGTTTGAATGTTTGGCCCCTCCAAACTCATGTTCAAATTTAATTGCCATCATGACAGTATTGGGAGATGGAATCTTTAAGAGGTGTTTAGGTCATGAGGGCTCTGCCCTCATAAATGAACTGATGCTGTTATTGCATTACCAGAGGAGTGGGCTCACTGTCTCTTGCTCTTCTACCATGTGATGCCTTTCACCACGTTATGACATAGGAAGCCCTCACCAGATGTGGCCCCTCGATCTTTGACTTCTCAGCCTCCAGAACTATAAGCCAATAAATTTCTGTTCATTATGAATTACCCTGTTATAGCAGCACAAAATGAACTAAGACATCTGCCAAATCTAATGATTTAAAAAATGGTGCTTCTCTTATATTTCCTTTTTATTTTATTTTTCTAATTTACTGTTTTTGTATTTTGCAAAAGTATTAGTCTACAACAAATTTGAAATTTAAAAAATTTGTGTTTCACCAAAGATAATTTGAGAAGCACAGTCATAAACTACTACATTATAAGGATAAATTCCAAATTCAGCCAGCATACAAGACCTTTTGAAATATGGCACCAACAACTACTTCAATCTCATCTCTCCTCCTCCCCTTCTAGAGCACACACGTTTTCATTTTCATTCTCTCTCTCCAGCTCTTTCTCTCTCTGAAATACATACACACACACACACATACACTAGCATACATTCCTTAGCTTCTAGATATTAAGCACTTGAAACGTGGCTAGTCCAAACTGACATGTTTTGTAAGTGTAAAATATATACCTGATTTGATTTTAAAGATTTAAGTATGAAAAAAAATAAATATTTCATATATGTTGGGTTAAATAAAATATATTATTAATTTCACCTATTGTTTTACTTTTTAATATGGCTATTAGAAAACATTAAATTATATATTTATATTTACTTTAGACAATAATGCTCTAGCTGCATGGAACTTCAGACTGTTCTTCAAATACCCAGGCCCCTTTATAACTGTGGGTCCCTGTGTACATTCATTCTCTTTAACTGGAAGGCCTTTCTCCTCACCCTACTCCCCTTCCTCTGGCAAATGCCTCCACTCATTCTTTAGTGAGAATGCTTTAAAAATCACCTCTTCTGTAGAGTCTCACCAAACAACATCTTATAGTTATTTGCACCATCTCCTGAGCTTCCACCATTATTAGCTATGTTATCAGCTAATATATTTGCTTATAAATCTGTCTCCCCTACCCTCAAAGTCAAGTAGAATAAATTATTCACCAATGCACCTTCAATTATTGTACCCAAATATAGGCACTCAATACTTTTTTATTTAAGGAATAGCCTTTAATCTCTCTAAGTCATAGCTTCCCTAGGGTATGAGAGTACCAGTATTGCCTCCTTCACAAAGAAGCAGTAAGAATAAAAACTTGCTATCATATTTAAGATATTTTGAAAAATTATGAAAACTATACATTGCTGCTGCTTTCTTTTTTATCATAACAATTTACATGCATATGTTCTTGGTTTCTATAGTCACTATACTAATGCTTGTTTTTAAAAGCTAAATTTTGTTAAGCAATCAAAACATTTCACCAAATTGCAATTTATTCTTGAAAGTACATTTTTCCAATGAGTTCTTGGTGCCAAAAAAAGAAAAAAAAAGTTCATAAGGCATCTATTCATTAACACTAACCACAAGTATCTACTCATTAAAAGTTACCTAAGCATTCTGAAAACATTAATTATTTAAAAATACATTTCTAGTGATGGATTCTAATCATATAACAATAACATTGTGGAGATACAGGAGAAGTTAGAGATCCCTAGTCCACATCCTTGTTTTCTAGAAAATTCATCAAAGCCTGTACTGTAATTTCCAAGCAGCAGATAAACCAGCAACCAGGTAATTGGACCAACTGACACAGATTTTCTGGAGGGTTACAAATTGTTTTTTCATAGGAAACTGTATGTATTCATATATAACAAAAATTCAGTGAGGGATACCTAAACACAGTCTAAGAAGCAAATAGCTATAATAAAATATAAATACCCAAACAAACTCATATATAGAGTATTATGGGAAGTACTGAGAAAAACAAAGGAGATCATGAAAAGCTATAGAGAAGACAAGATATCTGAAGACAGACTCAAGGAATGGCTCAGCAGACAGAGAAGGGGGAACAGCACCCTTCCTAGAGGGACCACCACAACATCATTCTTAGGTCACAGTCCACTTAGAAGATATGTCCAGAAACAGTGCCTAAGTCTATCACTTTTACATCTTTTTTCATGTATGTCACTTGTATTAATAAATAACCATTAATAAATAAATAAATAGATAGATAAATAAATAAATAATTGTATTAATAAATAGTCATTTTGATAATAATACTTAATGCCTTATAGCATGATCAGTTAAATTAATTTTGACACTAAAAACTGATATAATTACAGTACTTTAAAGCAGAAACTGATATCTTAGAATGTTCTTCCAAATAATTTAACCAGATTATATCTTCAAATCCCACAAATGCAGTAATGCTTGTTTTTAAAAAGTAGTTTTAGGGCCGGCCCGGTGGCGCACTCGGTTGAGTGCGGCACTTGGGAGCGTGGCAGCACTCCTGCCGAGGGTTCAGATCTCATATAGAGACCGGTCCGCTCACTGGCTGAGTGCGGTGTGGGCGTGACACCGAGGGTTGTGATCCGGTTGCTGGTCACGGTACGGGCGCGACACTGAGGGTTGCGATCCCATTACTGGTCACGAAAAAAGACGGAAAAAAAAAAAAGTAGTTTTATTTAAAAGATGATGGTTTATTACCTTTAAAGGATGGGTTTTTCCCTGAATATAACATCAGCACTTTAGAAGATATACGAAGATCGAAGGTACAAAACAATGACCTACATGAGAAATCACCTAAAATGCCTGCCATAAGTAAATAATAAATACATGTTAGTGGATTCAAAACCTGGTTTTCCCTGGAATATAACCAAAAACTACTGGTATAATTCTTGGCTAAAATGCGTAAGTATATATTGCTCCAATAGAACACCAATCTTTTATTATTGTTGTTTTTAGAAAGTTACATTAGCCCAACTAAATACTTTTTTATTAATAAATAGTAGAAAATAATAATAATTATTAACCATCTATATTTGGAGAGGAAACAAAAATGGACCAAATTTTGATATATCACATTCCACTTAAGAAAAACACTGTAAATATAATAAATAATTTTAAAACAGGAACTACATTTGATATATAATTTGTACATTCTAAACAAAAAATATAGATTTTCCATAAAAATTAAAATAATGAAATATATAAGCAGAATAAGGTTGAATAAAGGCCAATAGTCAAGGGCAATCTTGAGAAATTCTCTCCTAAAACACAGATTTAGGGTCACCATACATCAGAAAATTTATTCTAGACCTGGAGTCAGTCCAAAGGAGGAAGGATGGTCAAGGGCATCAGTCTGTTTAGGTGAAATGACTAAAAGCACTAGCCCTCCTCAGTGTGAAAAGACACAGGCCATAAGTAGAAACAATTTAGCATATAAAATTAAAAAGGGTTTGGACAAGACGAATACAGATTTACTCCCCAAACCTTTTAATATTAGTAACAGGGGATAGCCCTAGTAACTCAGGGCTAATTTTAGGAAAATCAAAATGCACAATTTTAGACAACGAATGATAAATATATATAATTCATTTACCTAACAAAAAGAGGGGATTGGATAAAATCATGAA